CCAGCTTCTTTAAAGACTTCATCTGGACCAGGGAATCTGACAGCTGCAGTGTCCCCTTTGCCTCAATCTGGTTCTCCGACAAGCTGTTAAATCAAAGCGATGCTGGTCAGAGATGGCAGCTTGTATCCACACTTGAATATACAGTGCTGGTCTGTACACAAAAACACAAGAGCTTGTAAAATCACATCTAGTGAAACGCAAACCCAAGAGTACACGTGGAAACTACATGGCAGGGCGTTTAAAACTGGCACTGCTTTTCCAAACGCGGTGTTGAAGCCCCGGCTCTATAAGCTGCTAACTACCAAATAGGCGAGATGGGCTGGGAGGCCTCCTCTATGGTTTCTATGTTTTTAGCAAAGGAATTTTGAATACACTAAACTTAAATGTTGAATTTAAAGGCACATGATAACAGGGAAAGAAAATAACTAAAACATGGTTTCAGTCTTAAGCGACCTGGGCACTGCAGTAGTCACTCTGGACAGTGCTGGTAAGTCAACTGGCTGGCCCAGGAGTGAAGGTACAGGCCCTGGATGCTTTGCTAGGACATTCGTACCCAGTTCACACCTCGACTCAACGTTTCAGGGTACCGAGCCCCTTCTGCACCCTCTTAAGGAGAAGACATCAGCAGGTGCTAATGATGTAACTCACTCTCTACCCTCTGTACCTTTAGACAAACGCGCCTGCTAAGTCACTTACTATTCCTGTTCTAAATATATTCCAATGTATCGTGGTGTTGATTGGTACGTGTACCTGATCTCTTCCAGGTTGCCACAGAAGGAGAAGGCTCTGCACAGCTGTTCTCCTCCCTTAGGACCAATCTGGTTGGACTGCAGGCTGCAGGCAGGAATGGGCAAGAAAAGACAACACACAGGATAAGGACAGGGGTCCCCAACATGCTCCCTCCAGGAAATGAGCATTCAGGCTTGCAGCGTGAAACACTTTCTGACCCACTCGCTCTCCTGAGCTCTGAGCTGGGAAGAACATCCTTCCTGTCCCATTCGGACACCTTATCTGAATCAGTAAAACTGTACATCTTATCTGTACAGAGGGTCACTGTGCTCCGACCCTTTCGGATTGTAGTTGATTATGTGCACCTGCCCCCTGTTTTGTCTGTTAATATTTAAGCCTGGTGCTCCCGCTATTCCTGGCTCAGCACTGGGAGATGGAAGCCCGGATGCCCGCCTACAGGCGGATCTAGGAGAGACCCGATGGCGTAGGCTTCATCACGGCATCCTGACATTCTGAGTCCAGG